TTTTTTCAGGATTCTTTGATGAATAAAAAGTTAAAAAGAACAGCATTTATTCAAAATATAAATCTTTTCTAACAAGATAAATATTTGCTATCACTTATCAATTTAACACATCCTTGCTGAATAAAAGTTTTAATTTCTTTCAAAAAAGAAAGAATAAAAATTTACTGAACTGTATATATTCTATTTTAAATAAATGCTCTTCTTTTTAACTTTCTATTCATCAAAGAATCCTGAAAAAAATTATCACAGGTTCCAAAAAAATATAAAGCAGCACAAAAGTTTCCAGCACTGATGATAAATCAGCATATTAGAATGATTTCTGAAGATCATGTGACACTTTAGACTGGAGTAATGATGCTGAAAATTCAGCTTTGATCACAGCAATAAATTATATTTTAAAGTATATTAAAATAGAAAAACATTATTTTACATCATAATAATATTTCACAATATTTATTTTTTTTCCTGTATTTTTGATCACATAAATGCAGCCTTGATGGAGCATAAGAAACTCCTGTAAAAAACATGAAAAATTAAAATAAAAAAAAATTCAACAAAAACTTCAAACATAGATCATCTACATTTTGGACAATATGGCCAATGTGACGTACAGAACTACGTGGTCTGAGGCACAGCAGTACCTACTGGATAACCCCACCTTTGCTGAAGATGAGGAGCTACAGAGTATGAACACACACACACATTGTACTGCCACCTCCACACGGTGATGCTTTTAACCCGCATAATGAGAGCGAGTGTGTTTGATATATAGGAAGCTTTTATCTTTGTGTCTGTGTGTGCGTTAGACATGGACAAGGAAGATGCTCTGATCTGTTTTGAGGAACACATCCGTGCTCTCGAGAAAGAGGAGGAGGAAGAGAAACAGAAAACTCTGCTGCGAGAGAGACGCAGACAGCGCAAGAACAGAGAGGCTTTCCAGGTGACACACACGTGTGACTCTGTCCTGGTTTGTCCCCTGCATCACGTCCAGCTTTCTAATAGGGCTGCACGATATATCGTTTCAGCATCGATATCGCGATGTGCGCATCCACGATAGTCACATCGCAGGATGTGCGATGTTTAATATACTGATTGTTATATTTATACTGATCGTTTTCTTTGCTCACACACAGACACACTTATCAATTTAACACATCCTTGCTGAATAAAAGTTTTAATTTCTTTCAAAAAAGAAAGAATAAAAATTTACTGAACTGTATATATTCTATTTTAAATAAATGCTCTTCTTTTTAACTTTCTATTCATCAAAGAATCCTGAAAAAAATTATCACAGGTTCCAAAAAAATATAAAGCAGCACAAAAGTTTCCAGCACTGATGATAAATCAGCATATTAGAATGATTTCTGAAGATCATGTGACACTTTAGACTGGAGTAATGATGCTGAAAATTCAGCTTTGATCACAGCAATAAATTATATTTTAAAGTATATTAAAATAGAAAAACATTATTTTACATCATAATAATATTTCACAATATTTATTTTTTTTCCTGTATTTTTGATCACATAAATGCAGCCTTGATGGAGCATAAGAAACTCCTGTAAAAAACATGAAAAATTAAAATAAAAAAAAATTCAACAAAAACTTCAAACATAGATCATCTACTGAGAATTTGGAGTTGTATCTTTATGCTTTACTTTTTGTTCATCAATTTTTAAA